CTTGTTTAATTGTTTTTACACTTGGATGGCTGCACTGGTACTAACTCGCCACTGAGCCAGTTACGAGTACTGCCCGTCTCGCCCGTTTACCCCTTTTTCTTGATTTACGAGATCTTAACCTTATCTTGCTGATACTTTGTTATAAACGTTAATTATAACTTTTATAAATAAAGATAACCCCATTAATACTTGTAGCACTAGGAAAAAAATACCACAAATTCAAGAAAAAGGTGAAATCGGATAAGGCCACAGGGTATACTAATTGACTTCTTTATAGCTAAGCACTAGCAGAGGCATCCCTGTGTAGAAATATTTCACAAATAATATGAAGTGAGCACGGCATTTCCCCCCATGTTCTTATTTTCTCCAGCGGCATTGGGTTATGAGGGAACTCTCCCTCTCAACATTTACATTGCTTAACTATACACTCTACTGTAGGCTCGTCTGGCTGCGCGTGTTCATCCAAGGAGAAGTGCGCGACGAGATGCACGAAGCCATGCAGCTGTTGCCCATAGACGTATGATTCGACTGCTGCATTCTGCATGACTAAGCAAGGGAAATATTAATTCTTCTGTTTTGTTTCTCGTATGTTATGACTGAATTATCGGAATGTTTGCCTAAATGAAAGAATGTGAAAAGGTGGTTTTTAATTCTCATTCTATATATAAAATGTCGGCATTCCTGCCACAAATATTTATATATGTGAGGGAGAAGAAAACATTGATTTTCTGCCAATCCTTTCATTGGCAACTCCTTCACGTGTTTATCTCTCACTCTCAAGTTTTTTTTTCTCTCTCTTACTTAAGGCCAGACTGACCAATCAATATCTGACTCTCCATAGGAAAAATCTAGGAAATCGAAAAAGTGAACTTCCAAACAGGATGTATAGAATTCGTTCAGTTTTGAACATTATAAGATTGGAATACGAAACTTCATCATTCTCTCTTGTATAATAATAAAATGTCTATCCATCTACTTTTATTTTCCCTTTCTTCCTCTAACACCCGCTTCCACACTGGCGAACCGTCAAAGGGGTAAGCGAGCAGATCGAAGATTAAATGGCTGTGCACCAACAGGGCCGAAAGCAACGTGCAACCGGGAAGAGTAACTATAATGATCAATGAAACTGGTTTCGAAACCCATGATCATATCCTCTCAATAGAAATTCGAATGCAGTTTCTACCTACTGTATATACTTTGGCATTAATCGATAAAAAAATAAATAGACTTGTTGGATTAAAATATTCAAGCTGGTCCCGAGAACAAAAATATGTTGGCAGAAAATAAGCAAAAAAGTCTCAAGACATTAGGCAAGAATTTAAAAATGAAGGAAAGGGCAAAGTGCAGATGAGACAATATATGGAGAAATATGGGTAATAAACTAAAAGAGGAAAGTGTTTTCGGTCGTGATTGTGATGGAAATTTTGCAGTCGTGATTTCTTAAAATAAGAGGGATAAGACGAAATGGAAGGCAGATATATCGACATACTGAGATCGATCGATAGATAGGAAAGAGAGTAGATATATAGAAATTGTTAAATAGATAGGCAGATAGATTCAGAAACTGATAAATTGAGAGGGATGTGTATATAAATATATATATACACTTATACATATATACACATACACATATATATATACATACACATATATATATACATACACATATATATACATACACATATATATATATACATATAAATATATATACACATACACATATATATATATACACATACACATATATATATATATACATACACATATATATATATACATACATATATATATACATACACATATATATACTTACACATATATATACTTACACATATATATACTTACACATATATATACTTACACATATATATACATATACATATATATACACACACATATACATATATACATACACATATATATACATATATACATATATATACATATACATATATACATATACATATAGAGAGGAGGGGGGAAGAAAGTGAGTTATATATATATGTGAATGTGTGTGTAAAGAAAGAGAGAGAGAGAGGAAGCAAGAGAAAGAGAAAGAAAGATAGAGAGAGAAAGAGATATATAAAGAGAAAGAGAAAGAGAGAGAAGGTGAATTGGTTCGAAATTCCTTAACCAGTAACTGTCATTGCTGCACACGACACGCAGTGAAATCCCTTATCAATCGCCTATATAAGCGTGGAGCGTTGCCTGTCGTTTCAGAACTGCCTTTCAGAGTTACTCGACAGTGTGCAGTGTTGATACAACTTCAAAATGCCTGATCCTTGCTGTAACGGTAAGAAAGTTTGTTAATATTCTTTCTCTAAAGTTGTGAAGTATATATTTCTTATTTCAGATTTTACCAGAAATTCCATAACAGAAATGTTTAGTCTTTCGCATGGTGATCAGTGTTATTATGAATTTACTGTTGATTCTATCATTTTTCTTTTCAGAGAAATGCGTTTGTGCCGAGGGTGTCTGCACGAAGAGCTGCAAGTGCACA